TGATAATCTCCAGGTCCATCCATGTTGCTGCAAATGACATTATTTCATTCTTTTTTATGGCTGAGTAATATTCCATTGTATACATGTACCACATCTTCTTTATCAATTCTTCTGTCAATGGACATTTAGGTTGCTTCCATGTCTTAGCTATTGTAAATAGTTCTGCAATGAACACTGGAGTGCAGTAAGTGGGAATGTAAATTGGTACAACCATTATGGAGAACAGTACGGCGGTTCCTTAAAAAACTAAGTATAAAACTACCGTATGAACCAGCAATCCCACTCCTGGGCATATATCGGGAGAAAACTGTAATTTGAAAATATACTTATGTCTTGTATTTATGAATGACATCACAAATATTGTAGTTAAGCACATTTTGGAAATTCATCAGTACATAGCTTTGAAAAACACAGCGATGTGTTTTCAAGTCAAAGTGGTACTCCACATTTATTATTCTTTATTATATTATATTACTTCATTTTTCTCAGAACCACTGTGTACTTATATACATATACTAACATGATTTCATTTTTCTTTGCTGTAAGGTTACCCTTTATTTGAATATAAAATGATTTCTCCATTACATACTGAATCCAACACTAATTCCTATTAACAATATCCTCAGAACGTATACTGAATTTGTCTAATTCTTCATATCTCCATGACAACCACTCTAGTACATTTCTCTAATTTCACTTGCTCAAACTTCCAAAATGTTTGGTTCCAATCTTGTCCCCCTAGTCATTTTTCATCAGAAGCAGTGATCTTTGTAAACTGGAAAAATACCAGGATACGTCTCTGCTTAAAACTCTTCAGTGGTTTCCTTTCACAGAACATAACCCACTCCCTGCCAATTCTCTTTCATCTCATACCACTGTTCTGAGCATTCATTTTGCACCAGTTCACAAAGCAGTCCCATTCTCTGAACTGGCCAAGTTTGTTTGCGCTGCTCACTATTCTTTCTGGATGGAAATTCAGTGCTAGGCATGCATGGCTCCTTTTGTCATTGAAATCCCATTTATCATCTACTTATCTCACCTCCTCACCCCTCATTTATAACCATCTATAATTGTATTTTTTATTGTTTATCTCTTACCACTAAAATATATAAGTTCTACAAGATCAGAGTCTTATTCACAGTTTTATGTCTATCACCTAGAGCAGTACCTATTATGTAGTACATTCTTTCAAATGCTTGTCATAAAAATACTTGCCCACTAATGATGGGCTTCTGTGATCCGATAAGGTGGAAAGAAAATAAAAGACTATAAGGAAAATTAATTTAGACAAAATTCAAATTTACAACATTAATCTGCATGCATCGGCCATCAAATAGGTAATATAGAAAAGAAAGCATAAACAAAGTAAAAAGACAACCCTCAGAATGGGAGAAAATATTTGCAAATGAAGCAACTAACAAGGGATTAATCTCCAAAATATACAAACAGCTCATACAGTTCAATATCAAAAAAACAAAAAACCCAATCAAAAACTGAGTGGAAGATCTAAATAGACATTTTGCCAAAGATATATAGATGGCCAAAAAGCACATGAAAAGACGCTCAGCATCACTAATTATTAGAGAAATGCAAATCAAAATGACAATGAGTCATCACTTCACACCAGTCAGACTGGCCATCATCAAAAAATCTACAAACAATAAATGCTGGAGAAAAGGGAACCCTCTTACACTGTTGGTGGGAATGTAAATTGGTACAGCCACTATGGAGAACAGTATGGAAGTTCCTTAAAAAACTAAAAATAGAGCTACCATATTATCCAGCAACCCCACTCCTAGGCATATATGCGGAAAAACCATACTTTGAAAAGTTACATGCAACCCAGTGTTCTTTGCAGCACTATTTACGATAACCAGGACATGGAAACAACCTAAATGTCCATCAACAGAGGAATGGGTAAAGAATATGTGGTACATATATATACAACAGATTATTACTCAGCCTTAAAAAATAATGAAATAATGCTATTTACAACAACATGGATGGACCTAGAGATTGTCATACTGAGTGAAGTAAGTCAGACAGAGAAAGACAAATATATGATATTGCTTATATGTGAAATCTAGAAAAAAAGGGTACAAATGAACTTATTTACAAAACAGAAGTAGAGTCGCAGATGTAGAAAACATACTTATGGTTACCAAGGTATAAGTGGGAGGGAGGGATAAACTGGGAGATCAAGATTAACATATACACACTACTGTATATAAAATAGATAACTTATAAGAACCTACTGTATAGCACAGGGAACTCTACTGAACACTCTGTAATGGCCTATGTGAAAAAAGAATCTTAAAAAAGAGTGGATATATGTATATGTATAACAGATTCACGTTGCTGTACACCTGAAACTAGCACAACATTGTAATACAACTATACCGTAATAAAAATAAATTAAAAAATAAAAATACATATGAAAAAATTAAAAAAAAAATAATTCTTTAGCAAACAGACCTATGGTTGCCAAGAGGAAGGGGGAGTGGAGGAGGGATGGATTGGGAGTTTGGGATTAGCAAACACAGACTATTTTTTATATATATATATAACTGAACTGCCTTGCTGTACACCAGAAACCAACACAAAATTGTAAATCACTATACTTCAATAAAGTAATTTTTTCTTTACAAAAGAAAACAAAACCAGTAATTTAGAGATTAACAAGCTAAACAAAGTTGTTGATGCCCCAATATAGTTTACTCTTTTTCAAAAGAGAGTTCAAAGCATCACACTAAATGGGATACAAAGTTAAAACAAACAAACAAAACACTAAAACAACAAAAGATTTCATAACTTTCTCCCTGAGCAGGCATGAATTCTTTTGCTCTATCCATCCTTTGTCTCAGGTAAAAAATAATAATAATAATGGTGTCTTCCTTGACACTTCCTTTTCCCTCAGAGCTCGTGTCCAGCCATCAGTACATCTTGGCAAGTGTACCTTTAAAATATATCCAAAATCCAACTATTTCTCAATATCTCCACTGGTACTCCCCTGGCCCAAAGCAGTATCATTTCTCACCTGAAAATTTGCAAGAGTTCTCAGTGGGTGTCCCTACTCCTGCTCCACTTCAATATATTTTCCACATAAAGCTCGATCATTTCTTTAAAGCATAAGTCAAATGTCACTTTTCTGCTCATGACGCTCCAGTTTTTTCCTCTCAGTTGGAGCAAAAGCCAAACTCCTTACAGTGGTCAACAAGCCCTTATCTCATTTGATTCTCTGTTGCTTTTCTGACCTCATATCTTGGCACTTGCCCTCTGTCTCTGCTCAAACTATACCAGCCACCTTGCCATTCTTCGAACTTGCCGAGCATGTCTCCACATCAGGGCCTTTCACTTGCCATTTCTTCTTCCTGGAATACTCCCTGCCCCAACTCCATTTCACTTGGTTCACTTCATCATTTTCTTTATGTATAGTAAATGATACTTATCATCAAATAGTCATTGTAAGTCTGGTCTATGATACATATTAGAAATAGTGAAAACCTTGTTTCAGATGTGTGGCCTAGCTTAGAATTTAATATAACTGATTCTTGAGTGAGAATGTTTGGGATGAAAAACTAGCTCTGCCCTTCTAAATTTTCTTTAAATTCCTCTAAATCTCAACTTCTTGCTTTGTAAGATAGGTATACATGTCCATCTCACTGGGTTACTCAGGGGATATATAAGATATTGTGAAATGCTTGCCTGGCTCATAGTAATTAATTAATTCCATTATTATTATGTCAGTATGATTCCTGCCTAATGTTTGTAATTATCCTGACATAGTTACAATTGTGTGAAAAATATAATCTGCATACTATATTTGCACCAGAAGTTATATCTTAAATATTTTTACATACAGTTAAATAGCTTTAAAACAACAAAATCAAATTTTGCTCTTTCAAATTTCAAATCCTGTGTATATTATGGCATGCAATAGAGACACCATGATTTGCATATCATCTAGCCTCCAATTCTCTTTCATTATTGCACTGCAATAATAAAAATGCATTGCAATAATAAAATAATAATATTCACCTGAATATTATACCCTCCTATGCATTAAGACAGCCCCTTAGTGAAATTCATGGATTCACGGGTGTAAGATTATTGGTTGAAGTGGTCTGAAACTTAGTTATAACTCTTATGAAATTTACTCATTACTTTTCACAAAGATGGTATGAACTTATACTACCACAATATAAAATACTTACATATATATAAATTTGTTTCGTTTATGTTCTATTTAGAAAAAATAGAAAAATAAATGATAAAAGAGAAATATCTGATCAGTGCTAGAGAAAAATACTTATATCTTTTTCCATTTGTTATTAACCTCAAGACAAATAAGCTAATAATGTCCAAGTTACTTCTTTAAATTCATATAACTGTTAAATATTTGTATTAAAAAGCTATTCACTCTCATTGCTTTATTTTGACTAGAAATAAGTATATAAGAAAACAATTGAATATCAGGAACTGTAATTAAATGACATTTTCTTTAAAAACTGAGAAATAATTTTGTATCCACTGATTTGTTGTTCATGGATAAGAGCATAAAGACATTGTTTGAAAGCAGCGTGTGTGCACAAAATACTGTGCCCCTAAAAGTAATTATTACCAGACAGAAATTGAATTTTTTATTTCAGCTTGAAACTGCTGCACCTGTTTGATCATTTGGCAAAGCTGCCTTTCTATTGTTGTTCAGGAGACAAAGTGACTGATTGATCTAATTACCCTAGTGTTAACCATTCTGCAGAGAAGATCTTCTCATTTATAGCCTTGGTAGATGAGTACTATATTGCTGAGAATTAAATGACCCAGCACAGGGAAATCTAGCTATAGAGACAGAAGGAATTAATTTCTTTCCTACTTAATATGAGACGTTTTTCTAATTTTTTACTCAACTGAATAGAGGAAAATATGTAATAAACCAATCTATAATAAGTCAGATTATATATAATAAAGCCATACTGATTACCCTTTTTTCTAAATTTCAGTATAAAGAACGTAACTCCAAAAGTAGGAGACCCTGAAACCCGTAAAGCTATTCGTCGTGCCTTTGACGTGTGGCAGAATGTAACTCCTCTGACGTTTGAAGAAGTTCCCTACAGTGAATTAGAAAATGGCAAACGTGATGTGGATATAACCATCATTTTTGCATCTGGCTTTCATGGAGACAGTTCTCCCTTTGATGGAGAGGGAGGGTTTTTGGCACATGCCTATTTCCCTGGACCAGGAATTGGGGGAGATACTCATTTCGACTCAGATGAGCCATGGACACTAGGAAATCCTAATCATGATGGTAAGTGCATAGTTTTTTTCATTATAAATACTTTTATTTTTGGATGCCCAAGTGATTTACTAATTTAAAAACTTAAACTAAACAAATAATTTGTTTTTAAAATTACCAAAAAATACATGAGGCTTTTTATAACATTTTAGAACAAGAATTTGTACGAGTCATTAGACAATAATAGTTTTTCATGTGGCTTTTGATTAAAGATTAGAACTTTACAGTGTATTCTATAAATGCTTTAAAGTGAATTTTGTTTTCTATAAAGAGTCATTTAAAAGTTTCTGTAGTATTCAAGTCATGGGACACACATTAAGTAAATTATGCTATTTTTTTACACTTAATTCCAGTGTTTCCACTTGAAACTTAACCCTGATTGACATTGGTGGTGTAGCTTCTACCATATCTTTTCTGTTTATTTTTTTCCATTATAATCTTTCTAATCTGTAAGTTTTCTCCTTCTCTTTTGTCTCATAATTTCCTTGGTCTCCCAATCTGACATATTCTTGTATGATATCTTTATAGAAACCAGATTCTTGCAAATCTATTCCAACATATCTATCAGTTTTCTAATCCTTATAGTTATTCTAATATGCAAAAATAATGTAAAAATTAAAAACTCAACAGCTAAAAGTATCGTTACTTGATATAAGAAGCATGTGTTTCTTCCTAGGGAACAATTTTGTGTTTAAAAAATATTCATAGAATTATAGGATTCTAGAGTTATAAGATTCTTAAGTCATCATCTCTCATAATTCTTGTAATCAATACTTAAATATTTTACTTTTTCACCACAGTAGAATGTTGAAAATACAAGTGTGCATTGTTTAATGACAACTAATCAGCTAATAAAACTCTTAATTCCTCCTTGATGAGTTAAGCCCAGCCGTCAAATTAAGCTTTGTTAGTTCCTTAGAAGGTTTAGTTAGCTGGATTAATGTAATAGTCTTGCATGTTTAGAACATGTAGGGTTCAAACACATTATGGATAGAATGAATTAGTTGAGTTAAACTTGAAATAACATTAATTTTCAAAGAGAAAAATATAATAAATAACTGTTCATGTTTTCCAAAAGGAAATAAAATATCTAGTATTGAACAAAATGATTTTTGTATTGTTATTAATAGGTGTATTTGCTATAATATAAAATTATGATTTCATTTTTAAGAACTGGTTTGGAGGCTAATGGCAGCTATGTTGGGAGGATTCACTATACTGGAATGAAAGTCAGATACTTTGGAGTCAAACAGACGTACATTCCTGGCTAAATGTTCAGTAGCTCAATAACCTGCTAACATACTGTATACTTGATTTCATTCTTTACCTTGTATTGCAGGGCTGGGGACATTGTAAGGAGAAGTGCTTTCTATTTAGGCATGTTTAACTTATTGTATAGCTGAGAATCTAATAATAAAATATCTGCAACATGATAGTTGGCCCATACTTGTTTGATACATAATTCATTTAAAATTAAATGTGTTTATTTTTATCAATATCACACAGGAATTCAAATGAAGTAGCTCAGACTTCTTCAAGTCAATTGCTAAAAATGTTTTAAATAATGGAAAAATATTTGCATTCTAACTAATTGAGAAAAGTAGCACATATAATGGTAGAATTTTGCTGACATAGGCATAACTACATTTGCTTCCAAGGGAAAGATTTTCTTCTAAACTTCTGAACAGAGAAAATTGTATTTTATTCCAATAATGAGTCTAACTGTTAAAGATACTGTAAATGTGTAGCTTTGAAGTTGTGTTAATTTGGCTTTGTGGACTCATAAATTTAAAATTGTTTTAAAATTCTATATGAAGGAGATGGTGCCTATTAAATGGCCTATATTTTCTCTTAAAATGTGGAAATCATCAAGAAAGCTGCACGAATCCTTTAAATGTATTCTCTATTAGCTGTACTTTTTTAGGCATTAACTAATACTTTTAAAAAATAAGTTTTAAAAATATCTATAGGGGCATTTGAAGTGACATAGGAAATGAGAATTTTTCCACTGATTTGAGTATTATAGGTATTATTAATGTTTATTTGTTTTTTTGTGTGATTTAAGAAGTCTTTCAAGGAATATATATGTGGGAAAGAATTCAGAAATGGGACATAGGAGCTAAATGTGTACAATCAAGTCGATGGACTTTTAACTCAGACTGTGTATTAATACATTTGATTGCCTTTTAAATTATACTGTAGAAGTATAATAACTTTTTACATATACATATATTAAAAACCTAAACAAAAAATTATTTAATATTTAGTGTTTCATTTGGATGAAAATATTTCTTTACTGGTCCAATAAGAATATTTTTCCTTTTCAGTGAGCATAAAGAAAATGATTCTGCAAAACAACAGTGTTCAGAATTGTAGGAGATTAAAGGAAAAGTTAACTGTTCAAGATGTAATACCATAAAGATTTACTGCTTAATTGAAATTCAGACTTTTAACTAGCAACAGGGCAGCTATGGTAATGTCATATGAAGTACTGATTGTTTATCAAAGGAAAACCCTCTAGCTTTGTTGTGGTACTGTTGAATGTGTGGAGAATTAATGTATTTGTACATCCTAGATCCTTTCTGTAAGGCTGTCTTTTTGTATCACAAATATACAGGCACAATTCTGACATCTTTACTGATAAAACTTTTTGTTTCTTTAATCTAGTCCTCCAATGTCCCCTGGCTTATTTCCCTGAAAATTTTTCTTTCTGTCCTACTCAGAGCTCTTAAGCATCTAGAAAACAGAGAAGCTTGAAAGTTTAGCAAAAATGCAAATGACAGAGCCTCTTGATAAGTACCCAGCTCATTTTCCACATCATATTGCTCAGTTAATGAAGGCAATTTGAATTCTGTCTACCTCAAAAGAGATAAAACAGTGTCTTAGTCTGCCAGTAATCCTTAATTCATTGTTGTCCACTTTCCTATCAATTTGCTTATAGTCATGATACCTTTTGAAAGCTTAAGCTAATGCTCATTAAGGAAATTACACAATACTTACATTAAAATAAATAAATAAGTACACCACACACACACACACACACACACACACACCCTTAGTAAATAGAATGCCTTTTTTTGCTCCAAGATGTTTTTTTTTTCTTTAAGGAGTGGATAAGAAAAACATCTGCATAGTAATTCTAAACAGAAAATGTTACTGTGATATGGTTTTTAAAAAGTATACATTGCCCGAATGTGTGTTAGGAAATTTAAATCTAGCAAAATGTTAAGATTCATTTTGAACATCATTATCATATTGTTTCCTTGGCTACTGTATAAAGTTTAAATGGTAATGTCAATGTAAACACGAACTTACCACAAAGATTCTTTCTAATTAGACAAGTAATCTACCACAGTCAGAGGATTACAAACTGATAATCTCCAAACATAAAGGTTATCTATTAAAATAATATATAAAACTATGACAAGAGAAATATCCAGATGCATATCTTATTTTACTATGTAGTTCTATTAACTATTCTATTAACAAAAAGAATGCATTGCCTTGGCTCTGTTTATTGGTGTAAAGGTCACTGTCTAAAGTCAGAAGGTGATCATGAGGTGCTCAGAGCTGTTGTGGCAGTCTATCCACAAACTAAGGAGAGAGCGATGATGATGAAAATTTCATGAGACATCAAAATCCTTAAATCTATTGCATCATTATGACAGTTAATTTTATGTGTCAAGTTGATTGGTCTAAGGGATGCCCAGATAGCTGCTAAAATATCATTTCTGAATTTGCCTGTGGGGTGTTTCTGGGAGAGATTAGCATTTGATTTGGTAGACTGAGTAAAGAAGATCTTCCTTCACCCATGTGGGCAGGCATGATCCGATCCATTGAGGGCCAGTATAGAACAAAAGAGAATGGGTGAATTCTGTCTCCCTTCTTGATGTGGCACCTGCATCTTTCCCTGACTTTGTACTTCAGAACTCCTGGTTCTTGGGCCTTTGGACTCAAACTGAATTGTACCATCAGGTTTCCTGGTTCTTCAATTTGCTGACAACAGATAGCGGGACTTCTTAGCCTCCATAACCTCATGAGCCAATTCCTATAATATATCTACTCTAATATAGCCATATATATCCTACTGATTGTACTTCTCTGGAGAATACAAACTAATATAATCATTAAATGTGAAACGGTCAAATTCTACATCTAAGCCCACAAATTCTTTGAATAGACCAAGTTTAAGTTAAGTATCTTCATGATATAATGTTTGAGTCAATGGACATGATTTATACAAACCAGGGAGAGTTAACTTTCTGTAAGAGAGATTTTGTCATTGGTGTGCAAATACAAGTTTACCAAGAGGCACACCTAGGCCTTAACAAGCTGTCTGTCACCTCTCCAATTTTTATGCTCATTTTGCAGCTGTATCTGCTATATAATATTTTTCAGATGCCTGCAGGTTTTGGACTTTGATCTTTGAGAACAGGAAGGGTTAGTTGCCGAACAGATATTACCAAGAGTCCTAGAAGTGCTGCAGTCTGTGGGAATATTATCTGTATCAATCTGTCTTGCGCTTTTTAAAAATACGGGAAGGACTTGATATGACGGGAGAGTCAAGGACTTTTACTCATCCTTAAAACCAGAGTATTTATTGAGATTTTAAACTGTAAAACTATTAGCTGTCTGCCACACAGTTATTACCTTACGATGCTTTACCAAAACTTTCTATAGTAATTTGGATTTGAAAACTATGATAGAGATTTTTTGATTGTTTTTAAAAAACTTCCTTCCCTCCTTCCTGGAATAAACTTCATTTCACTGAGTTTATTTCATTTCACTAGACCAGTGACCTAAAGTTTGATAGTCTTTACTTTTTCAAAACCTCTCAATTATGTTGTTTCATATGATTACTATGCAGGTTCTACTTTGTTCTTTATTTTTAGATCTTTGTGTCCAATTAGAGAATAGAAGATGAATTGATGTCATCACACTCAAAATATTGTTTCATTATATCAGTTTTATTAAAGTATATAGATGGATCATGTACATTAAAATACATGTAA